AATGTGTGGGCCATAAAACCAAACTTGACTCACTCTCCTTATAAGAAACAACAAAGACACTTATATTTGAGAAAATAACCTCGAGGAAGACCCAAAAGGAAATGAGGATTCTTCTTTTCCTCAAACAAACTTTCTAATAAGCCTTTGATCCACTCAGTTTCTTCTCCCAGTGGAACCGCTGAATATCCGGTTCAATACAGCCTGAACTTTAAAGGGAAGCTACTTCACGTCCCCCCTCTCTCCTCTGATGTCAATCACTGCGCTGCTGATACCTGGTGGAAGAAAAACTGAGACACATATTTGTAAAAGGTGAGACGCTCTATATCCATCTCCTGAAGGGATCGATGGATCAGTCAGTCCGTGGGAAAAAAAATGCAGTAAATGAAGGGTCTCGCTCCAAACTCTGTTTTCTCATCCTCACAGATCTATAAAGTACAAATGACTAACTGCCAACCTAATTACACGAAAGCATGTCTTCACAACTCTGCTTTCAAAAAAACAAAAAGCTGTGTGTCTGCTGGTTTTATTCTGTTTTTGTGTATTTTAATAAGACGGATATTTTGTTTGAGGGTCTTCATTCATGGCAACCAAGAAAATGGGGATTTTGTGAGGCTGTATTAATTAAGAATGAACATATATTAATTATAATTATTACAATTAATACTTTTAAAAGCAAAACTTAAGGTAGTTGAGAAATGTTCACAGGTGAATATTAATCCGAGAGGTAGATTTTTCAAATCTCAACGCTGCCCGGTGACACCGAGTCCAGTCTGGGACTTTTAGACTGAAAGCTGCATTTTTGTCCTGCTTATTGGAATAAGTATCAGATTGGTGCCGAGGACGTGAGAGGCTGTACTGGTTCATACGTAAGCTGCCATCCACACAATGAGCCTCATTTACTAACTTACAGATTTAGAGGAACAAATGAAGACCTGGCTGTTTTAGTGAATTTAAACAAGTCTTTAAAATGAATACTACTATTTATTATTAGAATTATGTGAAACTCATGTAATGGGTGGACAAGATGAAAGTATTGTAATAGATATTGCCTCCCTCCTTCCATAATTTCATGTGTTTGGCATTCTTATCATTGTTACGTTATGCATTCAGTTCTTTATTACTATTTTTGACACATACTGTGCTCACTGGCAATCCAGCTAGAATATTCTGGTCAATGATGATTCCCACTGGTGGCGCTCACTCAGGCACTGAATCGGGCGGCTTTGGGGTCCTGTGTGTTTTACTGCACAGATAGCCTGCAGAGTGCAGCTACACTAAACTGAAGTGCTTGTGTTTTGTATTTGCAGTTGCAAATGAGCAAGTAAAGAGAACGATTCTGAACTCATGCACGCCTGGAAGTGTGCAACAATTATTATTGTCTTTTGGTCATTAATTTGGTTTTCTCGGATACTTTAATTCCCAAAATGGAAAGGTGTCGGCTTTAACCTTTCCATTTAAAGAATATTTATCTGACGTTCTCTTAAATGTTTTAACATCTTAAAAAACAGCTCAACTTTCTCTGATTTCCTCTTTGGACACAATCATTTCAGTTTCTTCAGTCGGACTTTCGTGCTTTAGAGGTGCAGGCTTCTCTCTCGCAACATCCTCACATTTTTCTCTACGTCACCTGGGCTTCAACTATTTCCTTATATACAGAAGTAGGGATGTTATGCAGATTGCACAAGCTTATGCATGGCGGTTAGAACAAAATGTTTTATAAATCCAACGGTAATATTGCTCATGTTTCTTTTCCAGGCATGGTCTTACTTATTTACTAAATCACATTCTGCACATATTCCAAAAATAAGACAGAGCCTATGTCAGTCACAACAGCTTAAGATTCACTCTGCAAACGTTTCCAAATGCTAAAAAGGGTACATTAAAATAAGAGGTGATGCAGCGGCAAAGTAAGCGTGTCTCTGTTTCATGTGGCGCTGACAACCTGCAGAGAGTGGGGTAATATTTTAAATTTCAACAAACTAAAACTGTTTCGTTTTCATTTGAATCGTTCACACATATCGTGTCCGGCAAACAGCTCTGCTCTCGGCATTGACTTGAGGTCGGAAAGGTTGCCTCGGGGTCAAAGCAGGCACAACTTTGATGTTGAGAAAGCGCCTTTCAATCAACACTGAATCAATATTTCCAATTATTGTACCTGCTGCTAATTTTCCCAGCTGAATATTTCGGTGCAGACTTTTTCACTCCCCTGAACTGTTGCCGACGTCTTTGATTCTTTCAGTGATGATAATCTTATGGCGCTCTGCTCATTAAAAGTCGTTTCCCTGGATAGAAAAACAGGCGGGTGTATTTAAGAGGAAGAATGGAGACGGTACTTTTTGCTGCTCCCTTATTTCCCGAGTGGTCACCACAGCAGATGGATCCACATGCTGACTTAGCACAGGTTTGACACCAAACGCCCTTCCTGATGCAAACCTCCCAATTAGCTGAGCTTGTGATGCACTGAAGCTGGGTTTGTGTCTGCTCCCAGTTTCAAACTGGGGATCTTTCACGTGTAAGGCGAATGTGTTAATGGAGCCCCTATTTCAGAGTAAGAATGGCATTATAGAAATCCCTCCAAGGCTAAACAAGTCTAGACGCCCTCCTCCTTAGCAACACTTCCCAGCTCCTCCTGGGTGATCCTGAGGCATTTACAGGGACGATTGCATATATAATCTCAGCGAGATGTTCAGGGTCCACCTCTGGGTCTTCTGTGAGCTAGACAAGCCTGTAAACCTCCAACTGAAGGCAGCCGGGTGGATCGTGATTAGAAGTCTGAATTACCTCGCTTTTTTAAATGCAAAGGAGCAGCGGTTCTACTATCAGCCCCTCCAGATGTCTGAGGAAAGCAAAGCCAGAAATACCTCAGAAATTAGTTCTCTACTACATCATCAAAAAACATGCAAGATTAATGCTTCAAATCTGGGCTCACTCTCACAAAACAGATCTTGCTCACTCTGAGGAGTTTCACTTCTCGGTTAAATAAAGGTTAATAAATAAATAACTGCAAATTTAGAGATATTCTAAAGATATTTTGGTTTAACTTTTGTACACCGGGAGGAAAAAGTGACTTGTCGCCTGTTTCTAAATTCATTCTATTCTCCTCACCCGTTCTCTTAGGGTGATATTGAGCAAAATAAACAATCAAATAACCACCGAATCAAGCCGACTAAATTAGGCGGGCACCTCCTGGCTGCTCTGAGCGCTCAGCAGATGTATATTCCACAGCTGACACTATTCCCTAACATTTCATTGTGATGGAGTTATGATTTCTAAGCACTACGGCACTGATAAAAAAAAGAAGAATCATAGATTTTAAGCCAATTTAAGGTTTAAAATCTTCTGTAGTAGCAGTGGAATTGGGATTGAGAGAGTGAGATGACAGCACTGAGAGCAGAGCCGGCATTGTTTTGGTGTTTTAAAAGAGCATTGGTCTTATCCCATAATGCAGGATTAGGATTTAGACTCCAACTTTTTGTCAGTTATCAGGCTGACTGCTCTCAGCCAGACTAGCTTCTGGTTAGTTAGGACTATCAGTGCTTTTCTCTCCTGCTGCTCTGCCCGTCCATCCTCTCAGAAAGATGTGATAATGGCAGAGAAGACAGAGGAGCACGCGCATAAATGCAGTAGCCACTTTCATGGTGCACTGAAACAGAAGAGGACTCACGCAATTATGCAAATAGAGTCAATAAGACATAAATGCTTGTTTGCGATCCCCTCCATCACATTTAAACGGACTGGGTGTTCGATTTTCACATGGAAAGCGGATGTGTCTTTCAGGTCTGAAAAGTGAAGCTAATGAATAAGTGCCTTCTTTTTAATGACCACCAGGGGAACATTGGTGTGGCTGCAGAATGATTTCTGTGGGAAAACGATCCTCTGCTCCCTCTCTATATGACGTCAGTAATGCTTCCCTGAATTACTTCATGGACTTGATTGCTTAATAGGACAAAGGCTGATAAATCAAGTTAACGTGACAGTGGATACATCCATATTTTGCGCTCTGTATGGTGGAAATAAAGTGAAGGCACAAAAAATAAGTATGTGAAGTGAATAAAAGCACGTGAAGCCAAACAGCAGCGAAACCCACAAACGAACAAACACAACCTTCTGTCGACTTTGGAACTAAAAGCTGAATCTTACCATCTACCTTTGCTCCAGGTGGTGTTTTAAAGCAACAATGACAATGGTCACCTAGTGTGCATTTGTCTGCCTCGCGTGTATCTGTAATTTCAGGGGGTCTAGTGCAGTACTTGACCCCCTGAAATGATACTTGAAATGTGTATTTGTTCCTGCTCGATTTGGTTCAGCATGTTCTGCATTTTTATCAGGACCATTCAGTCCTTAGGGGGGAAAAAAGAGCACTTACAACACTCAAAACACTGCACGAGGACGCATCGAATACGAACAAAAAAAAAAAAATGAGTAGAAAAAGTGGAAGAAAAAAACGTGAATGATTAAAATGTAGAGCACAGCAGGACCATAACAGCAGCGTGCTGACTGGCTGTTGTCTTCTCGGCTTTCACGAGTCGCTCACATCACCGGAGGACAATGCTGTTTAGAAAAATCACTGTTGTTTCTTTTGAGGAAGTTTTCTTTTCTTTTAAATGAAACCCGTGTTTCAGAAGAGAAAAAGCTGCAGGTCGATAAGCTGATTTAAAGCTTCCACCTACATTTGAAACCAGCGACGCCTCAATAACTTGGGGCAAGGTGACATTAAAGGCACGCTGCAGTGCAAAAATCAAAACAAGTAGATTCCTTAAAGAGATGCTCTGGGGCAATCTGCCGTATTTTCAGTGATGTTTCGCTCTTTTGTCTGCAGGCAAACAAACCCCGAAGTCATATTTACTATAAATATTCCAGTAAGCCTCAAGCAAAGCGGCGTCTTCCACCACTAACCTTGCCTTCGTCTGTGTCTGATTACCATGCAGTAGGCTCCACACTTTTAGGATCCTCCCTAAAGGCCACATTAATCAAGACACATGCAGACAGCTGACTCTTACCTCCTCGTGAAGGATGGCCTTACACATGGAGTAGTTCCCCTTCAACGCCCACGTCCCATTTGCAAGACATCGCCTATAAACATTATCTGTAAAGAGAGCAAGAGAAGAAGAAAAACCAGATGAGGAGACTCTGTTTGATTTATCACATTTTTTTTTGCCTTTTCCTTTTTGGCCTCGTGTCCCTAGATGGGAATTTGTGCTCGATTCGTAGTGGCACTGTGACCTTTTTCTGCTTTGAGTCTAATAGGGAGAGATATCATTAGAGAAAGTCTCACAAGCTGTGATTTTTCACATGTTTGCTGTTGGAACAGTCTACCACCCTTCTGCCTAAGCACTGTTATTATTCTTTAAATTGAGACCCACGATTTAGCCGCAAATGACGTACGCTTCACGTCCATCCTGTTGTTTCAGACGCTGGAGCTGAGGACAGAACTGTACTCCTGAATTACAGTTTTATTACTATTTAAAACTTTAAAATAGGTAAAAACGGAGATGCAGCTTCTGGAAAATCACTTATTGAAATACAGATTCATGCAGAAAAAATAGACACAAAGCACTCCCCGGGGGGTAAGTTGTAACGAGCAAATTCAAACACGGTGGAAGACGGGCCAGCAGCAGCAGCAGCAGCAGCTGGGCTCTAGGGAGCTTCTCAGTTTATTGAGAAGGGTCTACCATGGTTAGCCAATCATCGAATTCCACAGCCTGTTCTACTCTGGCAGATATTCAGAAAATAAAGTACTTTGCAGTTCCTTCCCTGTTTCCTGTCTCCTATGTGGATCCGTCTTTGATATGTGTCCTGCAGAGCCCTGCGGACTTGTGTATCCCAAGCCAATTAGCCCATCCTACAGTCACGAGAAAGGCACTGAAGGGTGCAGGTGCTCGCCGTCTCCCACTGCTCTCAGAGTCAAACGAGCTGCATGTGGAGAACTCCTGATGCAATGTCAGCACAGACATGTCAACAGTCTATGTGTTATGGTATAAATCCAGCATTTCTAAAATATACGAAGCATCCACGTGGCCTAAAATAAAGTGACTATTAATAATATACAAAATAAAATAGCTTTCCTTTGGTCTAATGTTTGCAAAATTGAGGATTATGGAGTAAATAATAATGATACTATTCACACATATGTAAAATTAAATGGGTCAGAGATAAAAATAAATAAATAAACACATAATGAAGATCATACTTTTCACTCAAAACGATTTCAGATTAAAATAGGTCAAAGGTCAAAGTGGATATAGTCATAAATACTCAAGAATTGCACGCACACACACACACACGGAGGTCGAGGATATTTAAGTGGTTGTTTTTTCTTTGTGGTGGGAATAAAAATCTGCAATAATATGACAAGCTCAGTAAATAATAATTTAGACAATTATCTCTGAAGTGATGCGTAAGAAAAACTGAAGAATTTAATGAGCGACCCATCTGCTCCCCAAGGTGTTCAGGCCAAAGGAGTGCGAAGGTGCAGGTGACAGCAGGTATGACAGAGGTGAGTCTGAGATCATTAAATAAAGTGAACAAAGTTTGATCTGTTTAAGTTTACAGGTTTAGCTGAAAGCACAAACTGTGCAGTCCTATCGGCTACGTGCCACTTCAGAAATGTTCGGTTTGTTTTATCGTGTTGCTGAATCATCTCTGCCTCCTGCTTAAATCCAGCTGCTCCTGGACATGAACAATTACACATCCACAACGAGATGTTTGGATTTAGAAACAGAAGAGAGCCGCTGATTATGGACTAAGATGGTTGAGTCAAAAGCAGCCAGACTTCTGTTTGTCATGGTCCTGCACTGGTCATCTGTTGTGCTTTAACATCTCTAAATCTCTCGAGCTGGATTCATCTGAGCTCCATCTGCAGGTGGAGTCCCGGTCTCTCACATTTGGCTCACTCTCCCCAAATAAACATCCTGACCAAGTCTCACTATCACCTCCTGAAACATTTCATGAACAGCTCAGCGTCCGATTCTGTCAGGACTGACTCTCCTTCCTTCTCTCTCAGAGTTATCCTCTCATGTTGCTCAGTCTGCAAAATAAAGCCATTTGAAAGGAAATCACTCTCTTTTGGGTCTCACTTCAGGATCCGCTCACTGGTAACACCTTCAAAGGCATTGAAACTTTTAGGTTCTTGAACATGTTTCACTTTTTATTCAGAAGTTCTTCAGCTCAGGCCAATAAAGGCGGATTGAGAAGCTGCCTTTGACTCAACCACTCCAGACTAACATGACCGGGACGACTGAGAGCCCACACAGAGAGCCCGCCTGTAATGACTGTCAGAGGTTCGGCTCGTCTACATTTCGATGTTGAACTGACACGAGCACACTGCACAGCTGAGTCTCATAGAAGAAAATGTGAGACAGTTATGAAAAATTGTTTGTTTGTGTTCAAGGACACCAGCTGTCACGTTTTTTTGCAAAAGCACGACTCTGAAAGTAAAGTAGTTAAACAAGAAGCATGTTTTGTGTCTGCAGCAGATATATGGTGTCCAAACTCATCAGCCAGGACAAGATGGCATATGAACACATGAAAGCTGGTTTTAATGACAATTATTAATCCATCCGTCCAATTTCTTAACTGCTGCGGGGCTGAAGACTGCCCCAGCTGTCGTAGGGCAAAAGGTGGGGTCCACCCTGGACAGGACACCAACCAATTGCAGGGCTAACACTTTAGAAGCAGTTTCAGTTCAGTTTTATTTGTCATATGCAAGTTAGCACAGCGTCAACATTGCAATGAAATGTATTTGACGAGCAGAAGACAGTCACTCAGCAGTATAGTACAGTAAAAATAATAAAAAAACACAATATTTATAAAACACAGCAAAAAATATAGTAAAAAATGTTAACAGACTAAGTATAAATACATGTGCACGCTTGTATAAACAGAAAAAGAAATCTTAAATGAGATAAAGTGTCAGGAGTGAGCAGCAGTACAAACTGAACAGCACAAAGTTTGAGTGTCAGTTAGTGCAGGACTGCACGGAGTAAGGGTTGTTATTTCTATTTAAATACTAATAAAAATGACGTGACCAGTGCAGAGCGTAGTATGTATCTGTGAAACTGTAGGACAGCGTCTGCGTGCATCCTGTGGAGCGTAGTGTGTGTGTTTAAATATTGTGGTTGAGGTGTCGTACGGCTAGGTGGTAAAAACACAGACTCCTGTAACGTCTGCCAGATGGTAACAAGGAGAACAGCTGGTGTGCTGGGTGGCTGTGGTCCTTGATGATGCTGTGTGCTTTTGGGTGTTGGGTACCCAGAAAGAACACAAAATACACAATAACATGTTAAAAAATAATAACAATGAAGTGTAAACATGTTCGATGTGCAAGACTTGAACGCGTTTCTCTGGAGTGAGCATCAAACTGATGCCAGAATCCAAATTCAGACGTTTTCACCCCTTTAAAGGGGGAATGTGTTGATTTTGCACAGACACAAGTCAGTGTGAGATAAATAAAAGTGTTCAGGGACACAAACAAAGGGGAAATAAGGGCAGCGTGGTGGTGTAGTGGGTAGCACTGCTGCCTCACAGCATGAAGATGCTGGGTTTGAATCCCTCTTGCTCTATGACTGCTGGGGTAAAGCCCCAGACCCCCATAATCCTGAAGTGGATGTAACTGGATGGATGGAAGTAAAACAGAAACAAAATAAGTGCATCAGATTAACTTAGAGTATCTGTCACAGATGAAGGAAACAATCCAGAAATGAGAAACACAAAGACTGTCACTCAGTCTTGGTCACTTGAGGGTAAAAATCAAAGCGAGTCCCAAATAATGATTTCTCCACATTGCTGGATAATACAAAGTGAATGGTGTGTGTGTGTGTGGAGGGGGTGTTGATATGGAGGCACTGACAAATGATGAGTAAAATTACATTTTTCCACTCAGGCGCGCCGTGTCACAGCACAGGACACGGTAAATCTGGAACAAATTTCACATTTGTCATTTCACATTTATTATCTCTAAAGATGACGGAAATTAAATCCGTCAAGTGGGACATCGTGGAACTGAAAGACCTCAAACGAGGCCATTTCAAGTTGAAGGGAGACTCTTTTTAGAGTGGGTGTTTGACATGCGGGGCTACCTGCAGGGGAGCTGCAGGAGCTTGCTGCGAGTGTGTGAATCAAACGTTGAAATGTACGCTTGTGGTTCAGTTAATTTGATGATTATCATGGTTGAAATGAAGTTAGATATGCCGCCTGCCACGTAATCACGTTAGGGCGCTGTTAGGGACCGCAGCTCAATCTTCAGGTCAGACTTTCCGTCGGGCGATAATTGATAGTGAAGTCACGTATGCACGTGTCACTTCTCCCATTTCAAAACATTTTCCAGACTTTTATGGACAGGTCTGACCCCGATCTCGGAGCGGGTCGCTTCCAAGGGTCATTGGACACCTTTTTCAGTGACAGTGGACTTTTTGTTGTTCAGACTGAATGTCAGAAAGCTGTCAACATCCATAAACAATGGAACTTTTCTTCTTTCCTCTAAATCTTTCCACTAAAATCACACAAAAATGCTCGAAAAAGCATCGATGCCAAAAACACAGAGCAGAGATCCAGTCAGGTGATCAAAGGTGAAGGAGGACTAGTAGACACCCAAAGGCAGACATTAACGGAAATCATTAACGGCGTAAAAGATGGACGTAGCCCCCGTGGCATCATTTTTTGGTTGGTGAGCTCCCGTTACAAAGCCCAGAGGCAAACACTTTTATTGGACGCTGCATGCTCATTGGACATGGAGGTCTCCTTCGTTTCAGACTAATAATGACGATAAGTTCCCAAATGGACTTCATGACTTATTCAATATGACCTGAAACTAGTGACTGAGCCTATGAAGGCATCAAGACAGTGTTTACAGAGGTCAGGACCCCTGTAAATACACAGGCCCCTCGTAACATCTGCACACCAGGCGATTCTTGTACAACTCAGCTTTTTGTTCAGGTTTAAAGTTAGCAGGGTGACCCGTCAAGCCTTCAGCTCCATTAACACCTCTGCAGATTACGGTAGTTTGAAGTGTTATGACTGGTCACTTATGTTAGACTGGTGCAAAGCAACATGCGGCATCCATGCACACCGTTAGGTTAGTTTAAGGGG